TCAGTGGTGGTACTTTGGAGAGGAATTGCAGTGCAGATATAAAGCTCGTCCATGTGGAAGGATGAGATTCCCATTTGTCATTCTGAGTCCGAATATTTGTGCTGAAAAAATCTGCCTGCAGCCCTGATGTAACATCATGGTAAATGCTGGTACTGTACGATAAATTATTTTTCTGCTGTGCTGGCTCAGCAAGTTTGTACCACCCTAAAGGAAACGCTTACTTCCCACTACAGCAAGTTGAATGGAGCTATATGTTCTTTGATTTTGACTTTCATAGGGAATATGAACTTGAAACTATATGGCAGCCTCATGCGCATGTGCATGCGCACTTATGTTTCCAGCATTTCACTCTCGCTAGGAAAGGGATGATGTGGGAGGGAATAAGTAACTGCTGTCTCCTTTGAGATAGCAGCAGAGGGAGTCAGCTGTCTGTCGTCCATGTACGCAATCTGTTAAGCGGCACATCCTGTTCATCTTATTTTTCTGTTCAACTTATTCTTTTCGAGGGGAGGGGGACAGAATAGTGCATTCTGTTCCAATCATCACAGCATTTCATTAATTTTAACACGGTGAAAATCAGCAGATAGCTTATTTTTCTCTCCTTTGATAGCACTTGAAAGCATAAAGTTACATTTTGTCATACGCACCCATGGAATTCCTTTATATTGGGAGTGTGTGTACACTCCCAATATACTTCAGTGGCAGAGCACTTAGGCAGCAACATAATTCTTAATTTCCTTTGTACCAGGCCTGGGAAAGACTTCTCCCTGAGACCATGGACAGCCACTGCCAGTTAAAATACAGTAGTACCTCGGGTTACATACGCTTCAGGTTACATACGCTTCAGGTTACAGACTCCACTAACCTCGAAATAGTGCTTCAGGTTAAGAACTTTGCTTCAGGATGAGAACAGAAATCGTGCTCCGGCGGCGAGGCGGCAGCAGGAGGCCCCATTAGCTAAAGTGGTGCTTCAGGTTAAGACTAGTTTCAGGTTAAGAACGGACCTCCGGAACGAATTAAGTACTTAACCTGAGGTACCACTGTAATCATTACTGGGCCAGTGGTCTGGCTCTGTATACGACAGTCCTGTGTCCATGAGGTAGATGATTTAGCTTCTCTCTCCCCTCCCCTGCCTTAATACTTTAAATATTAGAGATACTAAGTTTGTTTATATATACTGCACCTAATGTAGACAAAACCTTATTCACTATATACCAGTTATGGAAAACCTCCAGCCTGCGAGACTAATTTGGTCTGTGTGTTCCTTTTCTTAAAGTCACACCCACCTGACATCATATGCAATGTCTCATGTGGGGCAGGTAAAGAGGCAGCTACAAAGGAGCAGTTGGGAGCCTTAAAGTGCACTCTCAAATTGTCCCTTTGCAAGCTGAGCTTGTAGCTGGTGCCTTCTGAGATTGGCGCCAAATAAAAGCCCACTGTCATTGGTTCCACAGGGGCTCCTAAGGAAAGTTGATTCCTGCCAAAAGCAGAGTTTGCAGCCACTGCTGACCAGCTGACAGTGTGTGTGTGTGTGTGTGTGTGAGAGAGAGAGAGAGAGAGAGAGAGAGAGAGAGAGAGAGATTGGGGTGACATTAACAAAAAGGTAATTTATTGCTTTTATATAAAAGCTGTTCCCTGCCTCCAGCAAGAAATTCCCTTCAACCCACTGGTCTAACTGCTATGATGGCATGGGATGGAACAAGTGCTTCTAATTGATGAAAGAGGGAGAATGAGTCATATAGAGTTGCCTGTAATATAAACAGTGTAGTCGTTGTAAGGGAAGTGGAAAACTTAAGTTTGGTTAGAGAGGAAGGTTGCCATACTGGGGCCTAGGGAGAGGGTGATTTGTGTGTTGTTGACTGGGAGAGAAAATTGGAGAGGCTCAGTCAGACACTGAGGAATGCTGGTGGAGGACTTGAAAGCCTGGTGGGAAAGGGACCTGAAAGGCATGGCAGCTGAGTGAAGGGGTGCCCAAATTCTGGGAAGTTGATGGCAGTGGATCCGACTATGGGGCCACCAAATGCAAGATGTCCAACACATTTATTTCGAACGTTTTAGTTCATTTCTAGGCATCAACTATTATAACGTGAAAAATAGGGTAGAGTTTTGTAATATTTTACCTGGACACTGTAACTCCTGTTGCATTCACAGAATTAAGTGGATACAAAGTGCCGTGGTCTACTGCAGATATAGAAAGTACGGGAATTCTGTAGTAGGAAGACTATCTCAGGATAGAAGAAGCCATGAATATTCATCACTTTGTTGACTGCAGACTGCAAGCAGTTCAGAGTGTTTTGCATCATTTTCAATGTGCAAATATTGGAAGAAATTTGGCAGTCAATGAAATCTCACCCCTTGATTTATCTCAGTTATAGCCAAATTCTGGCCTTTCCAGTAGCTTTCTATGCAGAGATAAGGGTGATGAGTCTCCTTTGGTTCTCTCTCTGATGTGAGCATCTTCATGTCATTTATTGCCTTAGATGCACTGGCTTTGAAAAATAGCCCAAATGATAGCTTTCATTGCCTTGGACACATTATTCTTCCATAGACATAGTCCATGCCTTCATCCCCAAGCTGTTTGGTGCAATGATATCTCAGAATTTGTAAAAGCTTATACAAACTGGGACAAAACTCATTGGGCAGAATTCTGTGGTAAGACAGTTCATATTACAAGGCAGAAGATATAATTAGAACATGGGAAGTGTTAGGAATTAGGCTTTAAACCAATGTATTTGCACAATAAGCTTTTAAAAACATTTTGAGTAATGGCTAGCAGCTGAACTGACATTAAAGGAAACAGAGAGGCATGTGGTATTTCTGAAAATTGGGCTACAAGTTTAGACTTCCAAAGGGTTTTTTAAGGGTAGGTGATAAGCTGTTTGGAATTCAATATAATAGAGTGCAGTGAAACATAATTAGATTTGTTTTCAGACAAGTAGCCTTAGCATTAATCAATGTTTGTTTTGAGTATGATGGCTGGACTTGTATAAAATAGGGAGAAAACGTTGCAGTGCTGGCTAAAAAGAACATCTATGTTTGAAATGTTAATCACAAAGTAAACTCCTAGTAGATGGAATATTGCACAGTGCAAATTGTACAGTGCAAATTATTAGACAATTAAAGATATTGTTGAGGTATAAGTATGCAGCTGTTGCATGCCTCTGTAGTATAGCGATGTGTGACATTTTGCCAGGTATTTGGGGATCCTGGGCTTCCCCAGAGTCATCTGCATCCTATGAGGTGAGCAGCCTTCAGGTCTGTTGTACTCTGCAATTATGTGCAAATACAACAAAAAAAAAAGTATGGGTTCAGAGTCTACTTCTCACGTTTATATGTCCATGTCTGTAGGGCTCCTCTGGGACCAGTGTTGCCACAAAAGGCTTTTCTTTGCCAAGAGTCCACAGTTTCCACTATTATTGGCACCCAGAAATCTAATTGTCCACTGCAGGAGTAACATTTTGTTAAAAGCTGCTGGCAAAGATGGGAAGGCACAAAGCATCTTTAGCAAGCAGCAGTGTCAAACAAGAGTTGAAGGGGAAAGTTAATATGAATGCACACTCTGCTCATTGTTTCTGTTTTATAAAACTCTCTTTCTAGGAAACTGGTGCAAAGGGGACACAACTTGTGTGTGTTTTTTGGAGCTGGGAGCAATAAAGTCCACCTTGCTGGCTACTAGAAATGATGGTTGGCTACTAAGCCCCAGTGAAACGTGAGGCATTATTTTTGTACCCAAACTTCCAGTTGTTCCTCACTTCTAAGCTAATGTTAGCATAGAACTGAGTGAGACCAACTCTGCCTTGCTCACCTACCCAGGTTACAGTGATACAGACCAGATGAGTCTCCTCATCTGCAATCAGATCATGAAAGAGGGAGGACTTATTCAAAGCCAACCTGACATTCAGCAACAACAGCTGCAGACCCGAGGGGTGGCTGATAGGACAACCACAAAGCATTCACTGCACCAGGATTTTGCTGGAATATCTTGAATTCCTGTTTTGCAGCCCCAGACAGGCAGCAAAACAAGGAGGTTTATTGAGGCCATGACACAGACCTTTATACAAGACAAGTGGGCAACAAGTTCAGCTTGGTGCATCACAAGTTGTGCTGGTGTTAGGGGATTCCTGCAGCTCCACTTCAGTCACTGGTGTGGCACAGTTTTCTTTTATAGCCCAGTATGGATCGGCATATAATGACCTTGGTGAAAGTATTTGCTTAGCTCCATTATGTTTATGAAATGCAGTGTCTAACTTGGTAATATGTGAAGGTGCACCAGTAGGGGCCCCCAGACACCTACTTTAAACTGGCAAGTAGGAAGACATTTTAATAAATTTAGAAAGATGTTTGTTTTTCAGAAAACTCATGATTTATCTATGCTGAACATTTCAAAAAGTGAAATTTGCAAAATAACTGTTTCAAAAGAACCGTGGCAAAGTACTGCTTTCTGAAAAGCAAACTCTTTACTCTTTCTTAAAAGTTAGATAATAGAGGCAATTTGAACTGACATAGCTACTGGTTTAAATATAACTCAGGAGGGTTCTTCTTCCTGGAAATATGTTTTGTCTTTAAAAAGAGAAATATAATCTATTTACAAAAGAAGATGTCAAACCATAAATGTGATTTTTCCCCCCTTCAAACATGTGTGAGCCTCCTGTCTTGGTAAGTCAGTGTGGGGAAAGGTGTATTTTGTAAAATTCAGAGTCTCCAAACAATTAGGCCAGGCTGATACATCCCTCTTTTGTTCTTCTACTGCATAAATTTAAAAAAGGGATGTTGCACTGAAATCAGCCCCATTCAGAAATATATACCCTGTGTCATAGTTAAGGAACTCGGAAAATTATGTTTGAAATGCACATTATATTCAGATGGCAGAAATTAGGCCCTCCTTATTGCATCAGCAATGTTGGACATTGCGTGTGCAAGTATAACTTGGCATGCCTATATATCCATTGTCACGAATGGACATTGAATTGGTCTGTATTCAGAAGCCTCATTAAGGTATCATCTCAGTAATTGAGTGCATCTGCTTGTCTCTGTCTTTATGCAGCTGGGACCTGGCAAAGGAGAGAATCCAATTAGAGGCTGCCATGCAACAAGTATGAGGGATTTGGCTGTGTGGTGATTCTCCCTTATCTCCCCCCCACAACCTAAACCCCAATGTTCTGTGAATATTAAGGTGGGCCAAGCAGTTTTTATACCAGGGGTCAGCAAACTTTTTCAGCAGGGGGCCGGTCCATTGTCCCTCAGACCTTGTGGGGGGGGCGGACTATATTTTTGGGGGGGAAATGAATGAATTCCTATGCCCCACAAATAACCCAGAGATGCATTTTAAATAAAAGGACACATTCTACTCATGTAAAAACACGCTGATTCCCAGACTGTTTGTGGGCCGGATTTAGAAGGCAATTGGGCCGGATCCGGCCCCCAGGCCTTAGTTTGCCTACCCATGTTTTATGCATCTGATTCCTCTTAAAGGGAAACATACATCAATCTTAGGAACAATCTTGTCTGCTAGGGCTGCACAGCCCTGGCATCATGTGTTTATACAGTATTTGGCCCCACTGTCTCATTCATGTTTTTCTAATTGCTGCTTAACTCTTAGAAATAATGAAAACATGGATGTAAACCTTGACCTCAAAGTAATCATGCTGTTCTGGGCTTATGACTTGCTATCTTATAATCATTGTGTGAGCCAAAGTACTTAAGGCTGTTCCATTCCATTTCATCCTCACTCTTTTTGTAGTCTCACCGATGACAAATAAGATACCTGTATGGCTAAATGCAGTGGCACTTTGCTCTTCCATTGAATGCCTGCCTGGTGCTGCTCAGTAGTCTCTCACTCCCTCACTTGCTGTCATTCACTCGAATGTTGTCACCTGACTCTTTGTTTTGGTGGGCAGGAAACCCAGATCAGATGCGCCCAAATTCCAAAGGTTGTCACTGTTTCCTTCGCCGTGGCATAATAGATCATTGGAGAACCGGGCATTTCTCCAACTAAGAACTATAATCCTATGCAATATAGCAGTACTCCTGGAATTCACAATTTGATGTGCAATAAAACACATGAGATGTTTTAAAAAGTTAATCTGGCTATTAGTTTTCTTCCAGCTCCAGTCATTTCTGGAAAATATATAAAGCACATGACTATAAATACTAGAAATTTACTACAATGCTAGGAATTGCCAACAGTCCTAGTATTAACTGAGCTGTTAAGTGCTTGCTACCAGCTGACTGTTAATAATTAGCTGCCCAGATGATAATTCATTTGTTCTAAAAATGTCAAACCTTTTTAATGCATTAAGTGTTGCATTCCTCTCTCTGAGATATTATGGAAGTCATAAGATACCTAGTTGTTTACATTATAGAACTCCATTTTTCACCCTTAAACTGAATGTTCCAAAACTGCATGACCTATGCAACTCAAATAGATGCTTGCATGGAGAATGTACACTTGTACAGTACATTGCAAGTGGAAAATGTTGCTTTTAGAAGTTGACAAGGCTGCATTGTAAAACCAGAAGCCGCTCAGATTGTCCATTGTTCTCTTTTTAGTTGGCAGTCAGATGCCAATTCATTGTGTTGTAATTGGGTGCCTTTTAAAATTTGTTTGTTCCATGTCATGAGTACAGAGCGATGCTTTCTTGCATCTCTGCAATCTTCGTTAACCTCTTGCTGTACATGCTAAAATAGCAATTGTTAGATGAGGAAGCTTTCTTTTGCCTGATTAATTAAAGTTTAATAGATTGATTTACAGCTGAGTAATTTAGAGTGCAATTCTGTACATGTCTACTCAGAAGTAACCCTCATGAGGCTTACCTTCCCAGGAAACTGAGGATTCACTCAGATTAGTGAAGCAAGAGGAATGATCTGGAGATTTACCAACTCCATAGTTTGCATTTTTCCTCTGAGAATAACAGATTAGATGTGACATATGGCATCTCTGTGTTTTTCCCCATGGTGCAAATAGCAGCTTTGTGGGAGGAGTAATTTTGATTGGAGAAAACAGAGTGGGGAAAAGGCTTAACTCTCACTCCCCCAGTACTGCAGTCCCAGCTGGATTCCCTGCAGTTGCTATTTTAAACAAATAAAAACTGCAGGAACTCTGATCACAGATTCCCCAATGTCATGCCTAGCTTGGCCCTGAGTAAAACATTGTTTCTAAACTTGCTATGCCTTGAGAATTGTTTTGGTTGTCATCCTTGTGCACAAGTACAGAGATACAGGTATTACTTACTTCTTCTTTACTGGGGGGCAGGGGGCGGAAACTGTCTTGCTCATGACAGGAACCTTCCATGCAATATTAGTCATCTAAATATTTCTTCAAATGCCTCTTCTAAAACACATTTTGAAAGTGAAGGATGTCTCTAGCCTTCCACAATGTGATTATTTATTTTATCTTGGTTCTGAAAAATCTCTTCATTGGTGGATAAAACTTTAACTAATATCACAGAACAATAAAATCATCCAAATTAGACTGAAATGAAAACATTTTAGTGCCTTGGAAACTTTGTTAATCATGTTATCTTAGTGTTATTTGCCCTAAACTTGATCAGAGAGTATTGGACCCAAGGTAAAGTGATCTTTCTTGAAGAAGGAAACCTGTTAGAACATTCACAATATGTCCAACTGTTAGTTTCCTTCTGTTTCTTCCTAAAACTCCTTCCATTCATTCCCAGTTTGTTGATGGTCCAAAGCATTAGGTTGGATACCACGTCTATCTTGTTTGATAGCTGCTGATGTTTGTGGGAGATGAGCCTGAATGTTTCTTGTTCCTGAGCAAAATCCCCCGTTGAGTTTAGTAGATGGCACTACCTCCCACTCAGTATTCGTGGGGAAGGGGGTACAAGGATCATTAATGGGTGCTTTGGATGCACTGGCCATTCTCCTCCACTCACAAATATCCAAAGTATGTGTTGCCATTGTTGCCTGAAAATATAAGTTTCAAGGGTAGAGGTGTGTGTGTGTGTGTGTGCGCGCGTGTGTGTGTGTGTTATTGAAAGGGAGCACCACATACTCAAAAACCATACTGTCTGCTCTGGTAAATGCATATCTGATGACATCTCATCACCTTCTACTATTTCTGGTGTTATTGCAGGATTTCAGGGAGAGGGAATGTAGGAGCAACTGTTACTGTGAACTTCCCTAGCCATGGTAGGGAAAAGAAGCCTGACATTGCTGATCCATTTCCCAGAAATTGTTAGGCTACACTTGTGACTTCAGTAAGGCTGTTTGCTTTTCACGAGTCATTCTTCAGATATGAGACCCTTTTCACAGGATACAATGGAAACCTGGCGGAACAGAGAAAACCAGTGGGACATGGTTATGTCAGGATACAAACTTGATTAGAAGGACAGGGAAGGTTGTACTGGAGGTGGTGTCATCCTGTGCATCATTGAGTCCAGCAATGCAGAAATCCCCAAAGGAGCAGATTCCTACGCAAAATTTTTGTGGGTGGTGATATCAGACCCCAAGAGTAATTTACTACTGTGGATGTGCTATCACCCCACTGCTAAAATTCTCATAGAGATACTGAGAAGAGGAATGAAATCAAGTAAACATTCAAAAGATGAAATGTTGTAGTAATGTGTGACTTCAGCTACCCTCACATAGATGGGCTACGTATGTGTTCCAGTGAAATTTCCATATACCCTAAATGACTGTGCCCTAGAACATTTGGGTCAGTGTCCCCCAGACTTACAGACAGACAATAAACCCCACATAGATACCTTATACCCAGGAGGAACGAGTAATACATTAAAAGACATTCTGTGCCCTTCTAAAAGGCCACAGAGAGTTGAAGGTCGATTGCCTGGTTATAGAGAAAAATTTTGCCTGGCACCTGAATATATGTTATGATGGTGCCAGGCAAGCCTCCCTGCTAAAAGCATTCCACATATGGGGAGCCACCCCCAGAAAAAATACCTGTTCCCATGTTGCCACCCTCCAGACCTCTCGTGGTGGGGGGAGGCACATGAAGAAGGGCCTCAGGAGATGATTGTAGGGTCTGCGTTGGTTCATATGGGGAGAGGTGGTTCTTGAGGTATTGTGATCCTGAGCCATATAAGGCTTTATAGGTCAAAAAATTGAATTGGACCCAGAAACTAATTGTTAGCCACTGCATTCAGGCCAGGACTGATGTTATATGCTCAAACTGTCTTGTCCTGGTAGCAACCTGACCGCTGAATTCTGCAGCAGCTGAAGTTTCCAAACCATCTTTAGAGGAAGGCCCATATGTAACACATTGCAGAAATCAAATTTAGAGGTTACCTGAGCATAGACAACAGAAGGGGCATGACTGAGCTACCAGCCGAAGCTAATGAAAGGCACTCTGTGCCCCCTCAGTCTCAAGTAACATGAATGGATCCAGAAGTCCTCCTCCAAGCTGCATATCCACTCATTCAGAGGGGGTGTAATCTCATCAAGAACATGCAACCTCCCATCCATCTGGTCTAACAGTGCCTCAGTCTTATCTGGATTGAGCTTCAGTTTGTTGGCTCTCATCTGGTCTGTTACTGAGGCAAGACATCAGTCTAGCACATTTACTGCCACACCTGCAGACGTAAAGGAGAATTGGAGCTATGTGTCATCAGCATATTGCTGACAACGTACTCCAAAACTCCAGATGACCCCTGGTGGAAAGTATTGTTAAAGATAAAATAACCAAGCATATAGAACTGCAAGCCTTGCTGAAGCAGAGCCAGCGTGGCTTCTGCAAGGGCAAGTCTTGTCTTATGAACCTAATAGAATGGTATGAGACTGTCAACAAGCATACTGTAGCTAGAGGTGATCTGGTTGACATAATGAGCTTGGATTTTCAAAAAGCTTTTGACAAGGTACCTCACCAAAGACTCCTTAGCTGGTATAGAATAAGAAGAAGAAGAAGAAGAAGAAGAAGAAGAAGAAGAGTTTGGATTTGATATCCCGCCTTTCACTCCCCTTCAGGAGTCTCAAAGCAGCTAACAATCTCCTTTCCCTTCATCCCCCACAACAAACAATCTGTGAGGTGAGCGGGGCTGAGAGACTTCAAAGAAGTGTGACTGACCCAAGGTCACCCAGCAGCTGCATGTGGAGGAGCGGAGACGCGAACCCGGTTCCCCAGATTACGTGACTACCGCTCTTAACCACTACACCACACTGGCTCTCGAGAAGAGCTCCTCTTGTGGATCAGCAGCTGGTTAAGTAGCAAGACAAATTCACGGATTAGACAAATTCATGAAGAATAAGGCTATCAATGGTTACTAGCCATGATGGCTTGGTTTGGCTTCCATGGTCAGAGAGAGTGATGCTTCTGAATACCAGCTGCTAGAAACCGCAAAAACGAATATATGAACTGCTTGTGGTTTTTCCGCAGGCATCTGGTTGGCCACTTTGGGAGCAGAATGCTGGACTTGATGGGCCATTGACCTGATCCAGCTGGCTCTTCTTATGTCCTGTCCAATATGTCACAATGGCAAACAGGATCTTGACATTCCCATCCTCCAGGAATTTTTGAAATCTGTTTAATATGGTCCATACTCTCACTGGGAGCCTCTAGTACAGATAATAACTTCTCTTAGTGGTGTGTGTGTTATGAGCTGAAATGTCTAAATTATTTTCGTCCTTACTAATAGGAAAGTGCAGCTGTCAGGCCTGTAAAGAAATGCCACCCTTGTCTTCACAGAATATCCATTCTGTGGTTACATCTCAGACTTACAAAACAAAATGTTCTCAGTAAAAGGCTCTGATGCAGTTGCGATATTTCAAGGCAAGGCTAGAGAGAATTAGCAGTGTTACCAAACTGTTCTGAAATGTGTCTTGTTTTGTGTGGTGGGCAGTAATTTTTAGCTATGTTCAGAAAGTAGAATGAACTCCATTTCGATTAAAAAATAATTGAAATGTATGTAGACAAAGGATTTTATCAAACTCTTTACTACGGGAACCCAGCAATTACTGTTTTCCCTCTGCTGGTTATTTGTTTCAAACCCTGATAGGTTTGTAGCTGTCTTCACTGCATAATATGTACTGCAGATACCTGCACTGACTTTTTCTGGAAGGGAGTTTGAAGAACAGAGACAAATAGCCTTCTAAGAAAAATATATTGCTTATCTCTAAGATTGGCTTCTGTACCACCGAAGTAGCACCAAGCTTTAAAAAGGGTTCGAGGGTTGTATAGGCTAGCTAACTAGAACATACATTTCAGGGGGGAAACTGGTTGAAAGTGTTAATAAGATAAGCTTAACATGCATATAGAAGAACAAGTCTTGCTGAAGAAAGAATCAGCATGGCTTCTGTAAGGCAATTTCTGTCTCACTAATACAGAGGTAGGCATTCATCCCCGATGGTCACATGTATGGGGGTGTCCTCATGCCAGAAAGCAGGGTCCACCAATGCTTGAAGATTCAGGACAGACAAAGGAAACTGCTTCTTCACACAGTGCAATGTTAAGTAAGATATAGTGATGGCTGCCAATTTATACAACTTTAGAAGAGGATTAGACAAATCCGTGGGAGAATAAAAAGCTACCAGTGGCTTCTAGCATTCATGGCTGTATACTACCTTTAGGAACAGCTGCAGGACGCATCTGAATACCAGTTACAGGGGAACAAGTGAGAGAGATGGTTGTTAAAGGTAACAACTTGCTTGTGGGCTTTCTATAGACATCTGATTCACCCCTGCATGGTTGATTTTCAGTCTAATGCAGTAGAGCTTACAAATGCAGTCTGAGACCTTCATTCTTCAAGTACTTATCAATGTTCTACCCAACAGAAATGGGTTCTTATCCCACACCGTAAGTTTAACTTCCATAGGGTGCAATACACCCTTTCCCCCTTTCATCCTTCTGATCTATTTCTGGGACATGAGTAAATTCTGCCAGACATCTTGGCTTTTTTTTTTAGTTACACTTGGAAAGATTAAAACCATTTGCTCCTTGAATCAAGGATGCTTGGTAAAAAAACATTTTTACATCTCTGACCTAATATACTTTTTGTTATGTGCTATCTTAAGATATCTTAAAAATATTAGCTCGTTAACTTTTTAAAATTCTAATAAGGAAAGACTTGGTTACCTGCTGTGATATAGTTCTAATTTTTCTCCAAACGTAAGTAGATGATGCTGAGTACCATATGCACATCCTGGGCTTGGAGTGCTATGACTCATAAGTGTCATCTCATGATAAGTGCTGCTGTGTAGTCTTGGCTGCTAGCTTCAGCTATTTAAAAAGAAAAGAAAAGACTGGTCTGATGTGGAGTTATTCCAAATGATGATGTTTGTACTCAATCCATCTAGCCCAGGGTGCGAATCCTGTGGCCTTCGACATGCTCTTGCACTACAAGTCCCATCACCGCTGATCTTTAGCATTGGTCATGCTGAGGGGAGTGGGAGTCCAGCAACATCTGCAAGGTCAGGTAGACCCCATCCCTGACTGGGGACTCTGCTACACAGCTGCAAATAAAACGTTTTAAATGTGTTGTAAAGTGCAATATACAAATGTGACACTAGATGGCAACCGTAAGCTATGCCAAACTCAATGTATTTCTCAAAACTTTTTTTTTTTAAAAAAATTCACAGTGTGTTTTTTTTTAATGTGTGTAGATTCCACTCTAGTCTGTTCAGACAGAAAACTCATTTTTCAGAGAGCCATATTATTTCTATAATGTGGATTGCAATGTGGGTCTTTTTGCAAACTCTCAGCTCAGTGGAAACCATTCCTTTTAATGATGCCAGCTGAAGGACATATCCAGTCTCTAAAACGTAATACTGTCCAGTTTCTAAAACGTAATACTCTAAATACATAATACAGTGTGGTGTAGTGGTTAAGAGCAGTGGACTCGTAATCTGGGGAACCGGGTTCGTGTCTCCGCTCCTCCACATGCAGCTGCTGGGTGACCTTGGGCTAGTCACACTTCTCTGAAGTCTCTCAGCCTCACTCACCTCACAGAGTGTTTGTTGTGGGGGAAGAAGGGAAAGGAGATTGTTAGCGGCTTTGATACTCCTTAGGGTAGTGATAAAGTGGGATATCAAATCCAAACTATTCTTCTTCTCTTCTTTATTGCAAGGTTTCACTTAACTTACATTCTGTACAGTCCTGTACATTCCTATAAAACTGAATACCAAACCTCTCTCAGAATGTTCAGATGAGTTGCATATTATACCCTACTCTCATAGCAAGCAGTTTAAGAATGGCCTGCAAAAGGTCCCCAGGTGGCTCCCTATTCAAGCTCTGCTAGGGGGCCAGATTCCCTGGGCTTTGGCAGTTGGATTCTGTGGACCTTTCATCTACCTGCTCATGACTGGGAAATCCCTAATCTTGCTATGTCCCTGAATTAGCTAAATACAGAAGTTCACATGTTTTAGTCCAAGGGAATCTTGCATTCTCTGAGCAAATAAAAATAATTTGACAATCCCCTTTTATACAAATTGCCCATAGATTTGAGGGGGGAAATCAGCCCAGTGTAAGAACTGAAGTCCCATGAATACTGAGCACATAGTGGCATCTTACCTTGATTCACAATGTGTCTGCCAATTAAGAAATTACCTGAGCCTGGGCTTTGGCTTCTTTTAGAATGTATAAGCAAATGAACAGAGCAGCACTGAGAGCAATTGTGAAAGAATCTCTAATGTGTTTTTTTTGCGTGTGTTTTTTTAAAAAATAACAAATAAGAATCCTTAAATGGTTTTGGTTCTCACCCCCTTTCCAACAAAATCTAAACTTTCAGTAGTAATGCTCTACTTGGGAACAGGTTCAGCAATTTCAAATAATAGTACATGTTGAAAAAATTGCAAAGCAGATTATCTTTTGGAGAAATAATGTTTGCACACTGGTATTTGAAAGTTTTGGGGGAAGCTTAAGGTTAATTAAAATATTTTAAAATATAAGTAACTTTGTTTTAGCATAAACTTTGAAGATGAGAAAATTCCTGAAAAACTGTGACTTCATGTTTCAGGGCAAACAGTCTGTCTCTAGTCTGCATTTCTAGTTATTCACATGGTCTTTTAGTATGGGCACCCTGCTGATTTGGTGATGTGTAACTACATGACAGCAATATCTGAAAGTCACTATTGATCTTCATCACATTCATATCAATAGCTTCGTAGTGAAAGCTCTCTATTCCTTCCTGTTCCCAGAGCTCCCTATTAATTTAGTGGTGCTTAACTCTTAGCATTTCTATCTGCATAAAATGTGCTGAATCCCCTATAAATGAGACAAAATAGATTATCATCAAAACAATGTCATGCAACACAGAATTATTATTCCCTTGTACTGCCCCCCACAGATATCAAATGCTACAGAAACGGACAACTTTGTATAACATTGGGTTCTTTTGCAAGATTTTGAAACAGTATCATTCTCACACATAAGGCAACAATAGTGAATTATTATTGGTCAGCTTATAGCAAACAGTAGGAGAGCCTCCATGTACTGTCGTATCAATTGTTTCAATGTATATGTATACAATGACTTCTTAATCTTTTTTTGTCAGCTCACGTCTTGAAAAAAATGTTTAGATATATAAAGGAAAGCAAACAACTCTAGCATTATTTAAAAAGGCTAGACTTTAACATTTCTTCTTCCTCGATGAACAGGAAGTTGTCATACATCACTAGCATTTAATTGTACTTATGACTGACATCAACAGAAAAATCCATGGTCCGTCAGTCTGTTGAGTGCACACAAGAGGAAGATGGCACTAGTGGATGGCTACTGGTAACCACAGTTTGACTCAAGATTAAGAGCTCAGAGTCATTTGACTACAGCATGAACTCAGCTTGATATCTGAGCCATGTTTTACCATGCCTTATAGCTCAGCTCCCAAAGCAATTCTCAAACCAAATTTGAAAATCCACCCCAAAGATGCAGTGCAATATATATGGCAGTCTCTTCTG